ATATATATATATATATATATATATATATATATATATATATATATATATATATATATATATATATATATATATATATATATATATATATATATATATATATATATATATACACACAAATATATATATTTAAATATATATTAACCGTCGGAATTAGGAAAAATGAGGTCCGTAAAAAATTGCCAACCTTAAACATTTTCAGATCGGCAGTTAGGTCGGCATTGCCAAATGTTGACCCTAATTCCGAGGGTTGATATATATATATATATATATATATATATATATATATATATATATATATATATATATATATATATATATATATATATATATATATACACATATATATATATTACACATATATATATATATATATATTTCATTATATACAAGATATTTAGGGGGTACCAGCAGTCATTTTCAAAAAAAAAATTGTTTTTAGAACCACTCTAATAAATATATACAAGCTTTGGCAGAAATGGCAGGCTATAGCCTGTGCCCCTCTCCTTATCTGTGTAAATCAGTTTACATGGGTAAAAGAAACCCTGCGCATAATATAATCTTCCTGTTAAAAAAATGTTAAATATGTTAATGTTTTTTATTTAGTTATCCTTTAAAATCTCCTCACATGATATAATTTCTTTTTTAAATATTTTTTGTTTTTCTTAGTGTTATTATAATGCTTGTCAAAACTTTATATTCGATGACATTTATGGTATTTTTATTTTACAGGTTTAAACTTTTTTTTCAACATAATCTTTAATATGAACACAACATGTGTTCGGAGTTTGGGATCCCATTAAAGCAAATGGCAGGTTGTTTCAATTTAAACAAATGTCTTTTAGAATTGAAAATGGTGTTGCTTGTTTTCAACTTGCTATAAACGAATTTATAGAAAGAGGACTATTAGATATTTTGCATGATAGTAATTAGGAAAAGTTTCTAAAATCAGCTGAAAATATTAGTTTTTCATTTAATCATGATAAATCTAGTTTCTCACAAAATAAAATTTGTATTCTTGGTTTTCTTACAGAGAAAGAGAAAACTCAACTAGATCCTAGTCACCATCAATCAACGAAAAAGATGCCTCCTAATGCCAAACCTAGGAAAAGTATCATTGGTCTACTTTCCTTCTAATCTAAATAGATTACAAACTTTTCTGACAAAATAGCTTCTCTTGCCAAAAATACTAAGCACCCATTAAATTATCAATGTATGAATGATTTCAATCAATTCAGGATATTACAAATGCTGTGACAGATTATGTGAATAAAAATGTTCTGTTCGAAGTAGAAACTAATGCGTGACATTGCTATAGCTGTAGTTCCCAATCAGAATGATTGCCCTGCTTTCTTTTTACCATTACTGTAATAATTTGAGCTCAAACACACCTCTAAAATAGAAGCAGTCAGACACTAGAGACATGACCTTACTAGAAATCATTTTATATTTTTTATACTTATTATTATCTATTATTTATCAGCAATCTGTATCCTATATTTTTCAAAAGCAACACAAATCCAAAATAGTAAATGATAAAATTTATCAACATAAAATTGAGCTATCATGTTACAATTATGACATTGTTTACAGAGAAGAGAAAGTAAATATTCCAGTTGACATATTTTAGAGAATTCTAGGATTTATTGCTCAGAATAAACAATGACAACTTTATTCATCAATCACTCTGTCAACTTGAAGTATATATATTATGCTTTTATTAAAAGTCATAATTTACCTTTCTCAGTTAATGATATTAAACTAATAACTAAACAGTGCAAACTATTTTGTGAATGTCCACAAACCAAATGATGTGGTGCCATTAATACCACAAATCATTAAAATCTAAGTTAATAAAGGTGACACAACCACTAGAATGTTTGAAGCTTGATATTAAAGGACCTCTTCCTTCAAAAACAAATTATTCAAGTATTCTTGTTTTTTGTTTGCGGTCCCTTGCTCTGATATTTAATCTCAGACTGTAATTAAATGTTTATCTCAAGTATTCTTGATTTTTTCCAAGTTAAATCCAATAGAGGTTCAGCATTCATCAGTAAAAAATTAGAAAAAGGTATTGCAATAAGTCATACTACATTATATATTACATAGATGAAAAACAATTTTTACTGGAAACACCAAAAACCAATGTGTATATATATATTTAAGGATGACAAATAACCTGACTCATAATGGAGTGCTGCTACATTGACTGAAAAATAGACTGACTTGTAAGGGAGTGTTGCTACATATACTGAGGGTTTGGTTTGGGCAGGTAGTCTATCAAATAATTAAAAAAAATTTTTTTTTCCAGAATTTAAAATAAAAAAAAACTTAAAGTTGACATTTTATGGTAGAAACTTAAAGATGACCAAGCAAGAGTATATATATATATATATATATATATATATATATATATATATATATATATATATATATATATATATATATATATATATTTTACATAATACCAGTGACCTGTTGCTGTATGTATGTATGTATCCATACATATATACATATATACATATATATATATATATATACATATATATATATATATATATATATATATATATATATATATACATATATATATATATATATATATATATATGAATATATATATATATATATATATATATATATATATATATATATGAATATATATATATATATATATATATATATATATATATATATATATATATATATATATATATATATGAATATATATATATATATATATATATATATATATATATATATATATATATATATATATATATATATATATATATATATATATATATATATATATATATATATATATATACAGGACTCGAATTAACACAAAAAATTTATTCGCAAAAAAAAAATCACCCTCTCCCCCCTTATTGCTTAGGCCACTTTGCAATAATGGGGGTGGGGGTGCATAAGCATAAAACTGCATCTTTTGCACATAATCGTCATTTTTAAACATATTATTTCTCATTTTTAAATACTACTTTATAATTTTCTTGTGTAGCAGAGTTTAAAATAGCGTGGGTTATTGTTATAATTTAACAGCTTAATTTGTTCCAGTTACAGTGTAATGAGCAAGTAATGTATTACTAATAAGATATTTCTTTTAGTAATTGTTTTAATTTTACTTCAAAATGTAAAAGTAAAAAACTGAGAGCAAGTAAAAAACTAAAAGCAAACATTTAATATTTAAACCACTTTAATTAGTCATAGAAAACTATTTAATACATTAATGTTGACGATAAAACACCTGTTATTTTTAAAGAGTTTTAATTGTTATTGTAAAAAGCTATAAAACAACAATAAAGCAAACTGCAAAACTGTTTTACAAATATAAATAGCTTGTGTTAATGTAAAACAACTTCGTGACGCTGATTTGTTGCTGTTTTATACAGTTTATAACCTTAATAACATAAAATGTGTTTAAAATAAAACGAAACAAATTAATGAAATGGTTCTAATTATTAAATCAAAAATTTATTGTCATAAAACTTAATGTTGCGCAAAAACATGCCTGTAGACCATATGAATCTATAACCTATAGACCAAACGAGTAAGATTAAAGAAAAAAAAATTAAATACCACATTTTTTATAATAGATTGTTATTAGTCCTCTAGATCAATGTTATTTTATTAGTCCTCTAGATCAAGAATTATAATATAATTCTTGATCTAGAGGACTAATAAAAGTTTAAGCATAATTAATTTTTTAATTCAAATGGTTTTTAAATTAATGCTTTCATTCAATTTTTTATTCAAATTATTTTCCAATAAAAAGTGAAACAAAAAAATTTGGTTTAGGGTCATTCCATTTCAGTCACCCCTTGGATTTTCTTAAAATTTTTACCAGTGGTAACTATTAAGGAAATATGAAAAAATGCAAAATTTGAGCTCCCAAATCCAAACGGTTCAAAAGTTATGATGTTTTGAAATTTAGCCTAAAACGTTCCTTTTTTTAGGAAGTCCGCCATTATGGATTTTGATACTTTTAATTGAATAATTTAAGATCTAGAGGAAGAATGTGGCTGAAAATCAGTACCTGACCATTTTTGAGGGTGCTGAATTCAAAAATGTAGATAAAATAGTGAAATTTAAATTTTTTGATAGTTATTTTTTCATTTTAAAATGGCCAGTCAAATTTTTTGTTTTGTAACCATGGGTTGCGCTTTCATTAATTCCCGAAGTTGCCCAAGTCTCATGGATTCGATTTTTTTTTCAAATGAAGTAGGTGATCCTAGGCTATCTTTATAAAAAAAATGGTTTTGGGTTCTTAAAGCATAGAAAAGATATTTCATTTTGAAATTTAGACAAAAAATTTCTTTATTTGGCATCTATTCTTGTTTATAGATTTTATAGCGATACTTATTGTGTGAATAATTTAAGATCTAGTAGAGAAATATGACTACAAATTGGTATCTGACCATTTTTAAAACTAACCCAATTCTTAATATTTAAAAATAATTTTTGAATTTTATTATGTCAACAGTCCTTATTTTTTCTTTTAACCATAGTTTGCATTTCACTGATTTCTGGAGTTGCCTTACTCTCATTGTGAAATAAGAGATCTTACTCTCATTGTGAAATAAGAGATCTTACTCTCATTGTGAAGAGGTTTTATAAAAGTTTAGGTAAAAGTAAATAAAAAATTATATTACTTTGCATAACTTGCATATTTATCTATTTTTTCAAAAGTATACATAGAAATATAATTGACTATACAACACATTGAACAATTTTTTTTTATTATTATTCTAATAGTTAGATATTATTTCAAAATCTTGGTTGCATGAATCAAATTTAAGGTTACAAGCTCAAATGTTTTGTTAAAAAATAGGAAACTAAAATGCAAACTTTTTTGAAAAATATTACAAACCTGCTTTATTGAAAAAAGCTCAAAAATAAAAATGAAAAGGAATAACCAAATATTACTAAAATTTAAGTTCATATCATTTAAATAATGAAAGTAAAATATTAAACAACTTTCACTGAAAAGATAAAACTTGTTCAAATAAATTTTCATCTTCTTTTGAGATTTGGTACTGACGCCCAGAAGATGTTGAAGGTGTTTTAACAAGACAAATAACATTCATTCTTGGCACCCAGCAATTATCATCCTGATTTGGCCAGTGGTATGACCGACTTGGGTAATGTGGATGCATAAATTTTACCATAAAATCATCATTCTCTTTATCAACTTCATAAACCATACCAAGCCAGTAAAAATCGCCATATTTGCAAAATAGATATTGTGACATCAAAACATTGTCAATTTTAATAATTTCATATTTTTGTTTTTTGAGGAAGTCAAATGTTAGAGAAAAATGATCATCATCGGATACCCTTTTTATTTTTATAATTGAATGAGAAGATGGTATAAATTGATGGAAACTTCTTGTCCCAAGAATAGTGGTTGCTATTAAAAGTCTATCTGTAAGTTTGTTTCTTACTAGCTCCATTTCTTCAGCAGAGACATACACAAACGTAATCCCACTGATTGACTTTTTACAGTATTCAAACATTGCTTGAGAAGACAGTATATGACCTGTGGTTGGACTCTGCAAGCTAGCTGTTGCAACAAGCCTTTTAACAGTGCCACCTATTCCATCACATGGAGATTTACCATGGCTTGTTGCAAAGAAACTCCAGATGCAACAAACAGAAAAATCTTGAGCGTGGTGACATAAATTGTAAAAATGTTTGCAGTTTTTATACTGCCCTGCACAGCCATCAGAAAAATAATGAATTTTTTTAATTGTGGGACAAAGATGAGTTTTAATATGATTAATGGTTTTATGCATAACCTCATTGATAAATCCAACATCATGATTTAAATCATCTGAAATTACACACAAAGAAGATATTTCCAATTTCACTTTATTGTAGTAGATGACAACTGGATGAAGGGAACATTGACTCTTGCTCCAATGGTAACTCTGAATCTCGTCTTGTACTACAAACGTGTAATTCTCTGCAAAATCTGCCAGTACAATAGCCTCATCAATACTAATTGTTTCTTTGAGATGCTTTAAATAGCTAGATTGTGATTTTGCTATAAATGAATGAGAAGTGATATTATCAAGTTTTTCACACAGAAGCTCTATGAATTCATTTAATGGAAGTTTTATTGTTAATAATTCAGTTCTATCTGTCGTTGTCCACTGTTTGAAATCCACTGACTGTTCATTTTCATCACTGTCATATTGCTCTTTTGGATCATCATTTTGTGCGAGATACTGCTGGAAGTAATTTTGGGCATGTTGTATGCCAGGACAACTATTGCATCGGTGAATCATGCAAACTTTAGATTTTCTGCTGCAGACAATTTTTTCAATAATTTCATGGTAAGATGGTTCAAGGCCTATAGCACTCAACATTAATTTAACATTTTGGTGTATTGTACACACACAAACAGAATGTGTACCTTTTGGACCAGCAAGGATGCACCATTTAGGTCGAAGACTGCAAAATTTAGAAAATCCAATTTTATGGCCTGGGTACTTTGTCTTATATGCCACATAGAGCTCCTTTAAGTTACACAAAATCAATTTTTTTGACATGTATTTTTTTTCCCCAACACTTACACAGTCTTTTTTACCTGGCATTTGCCTTGAATACTCATCGTCACAGTAAAAAAGCTTTACAAGTTCTATAACATCTTTACCGATTCGATGCCGTTCAACCACATCAGGGTATGCTATGATGCCTTTTTGGTCGCGTAAAAACTTTGCATTTTGAATTTTGTGTTTAGAAACTGAAAACTCTTTTGCTGCTTTTCTGATAGACCAAGATTTTGGGGTTAATGTCAAAATTTGAAGTTGCTGAAAGAAAAACTTAAGGTTTCTAACAGGAGTTAGAAACCTTAAGTTTTTCTTTCATGCATTCTACAAGGAAGTCTAGATCGCCAGCTTTGGTTTGAATTTCCTTTAGAACTTCATTTTTTGGTGCAACAAGATCGGATTCGGTTATATCCAGAGCAGTTGCAAGCTTCTTAATAACTGCTTCTTCAACTTGCTTTATCTTTCTCTTTCCAAGTGAAGGCTTGTTAGAGGTTTTGGGTAAATGAACTTTTAAAGGAGACACTTCAAGTTCGCATAAAGTACTGTTGAGCAACGATCTTGTTGATTCCAGTATAAGATCTTTTTCCATATTATCTTCAGGTAATTTCATCTCCAACTCGTTCTCTTCTGATTCTTCACTTGCTAATTTATGCCTGCATTGTGTACAAAATTTTTCACCTGGAACTACGAATTTGCCTTTACTGCATAGGTATTTTGCTGTATCCAAGTTGATTTCACGAAGACTACCTAAAAAAAGGGAAGAACTCTTTTAATATGTATAAAATTTTTAATAAAACCTTCAAAAGTTTAAAGTTGTATGGCATTTAATTGTGCACTTTCAGAAGTCAGCTAAAAGGTTAAATATAGCTAAAATAGAATTTTGCTGCCAAGAATTTCATTATTGTAATTCAAAACGTTTCTACAAAACTAAAAGTTTTACTATAAATTCATGATTACTATAAATACCTTTTATAGTTTTGTTATGAGTATTAAATGGATTGCAGCACCGTGTTAATTTAGTTGTATAACGCTTCAAATAAACATGTTTATGATGGAGACAAGTTGTTGGTTTGATATTTATTATTGAGAGCCCAGTCCTCCACATTAATATTTCTCTTTCATATTCAATAATATCTTCAAAAGGTTTGATTCCCAGCAACGATGTATATGTTGTAAGATGACATTCACTTTCTAGGTTGATTCCAATAGAGCACTTTTGACTGTTTGCCATGAATAAGAAACTGAATTACCAAACAAGATTTAATAATTATTTAATCTAAAACTAAAATAATTTTTTTTTATTGAAATTTGTTATTATTAACTGTTGTTTTAAAACTATATTTAGACACATAACTGACGTCCCAAAACTATATTTACACATCACAGCAGGTGTTGCAAAACTATATTTTTCATGATAATTCACTTCACAAAATTTTATTTCTATATCAAAATCAACCTTAATAAACTGTTTTTACACACCACAATTGAACCCATGAGAGTCAGGCAATTTGTGAAAATGTTACCCCCGTTTTTTGGTTAGGTAATATTATACCATTTTAAAATTCAAATATTATTTTAAAATATTAGGAATTGGGTTAATTTCTCTTCGTCTTTGTATTCAACACCTTTAAAAATGGTCAGATACCAATTTGCAGTCATATTTCTCTACTAGATCTTAAATTATTCACACAATAAGTATCGCTATAAAATCTATAAACGAGAATAGATGCCAAATAAAGAAATTTTTTGTCTAAATTTCAAAATGAAATATCTTTTCTATGCTTTAAGAACCCAAAACCATTTTTTTTATAAAGATAGCCTAGGATCACCTACTTCATTTGAAAAAAAAATCGAATCCATGAGACTTGGGCAACTTCGGGAATTAATGAAAGCGCAACCCATGGTTACAAAACAAAAAATTTGACTGGCCATTTTAAAATGAAAAAATAACTATCAAAAAACTTAAATTTCACTATTTTATCTACATTTTTGAATTCAGCACCCTCAAAAATGGTCAGGTACTGATTTTCAGCCACATTTTCCCACTAGATCTTAAATTATTCAATTAAAAGTACTACTACAAAGTTCATAATGGCGGAAGTGGAAAAAAATAGGACGTTTTAGGCTGAATTTCAAAATGTCATAACTTTTGAACGGTTTGGATTTGGAAGCTCAAACTTTACATTTTTCTTTGTTATATTGATAGGTACCACTGGTTCAAATTTGAAAGAAATCTGAGAGGGTGACTGAAAAATTTCAATTTTTTGTCCCACTTTTACATGGAATTACCCTTTAATAATACGAATTATATTTCCTTAAGTTTAAGAATATGCTAAAGCAAATATGTTAAAGCAAAAATGTTAAAGAATATGTTAAAGCAAAAATGTTGCTGGTTTCTATTAACATCTATTAACTATTAGAAATAAAAAATTAATAAAAAAGACAATATTTATTTTGATATACTTAAAGTAGAAAAATTAATAATATAAAATTGTTGATAAAATAATAATTTAAATTATTAATAATAAGTTAATTTGGTGCGATGTTTTGAAAAACAGAGAAAATACTGGGCTGCTTTGTTAAAAAAAAAAAAGAATGAAATCTTTAACATCCCTTTCTTTAACATTTCATTTCCAACCGTTTGCTTTAACGACCTTTTAAATATTATTGGCTTCCACTCAGAGATTTAAAGCAATTTAAAGTCAAATCTAAATCTCAGCGTGAAAGAGCAAATGATCATCTATTTAGAAGATAAATTTAGCATGACGTAGTTTAAAACAAAAACAATACTTTTAAGAATTACCAAAAATAAAATGCCCAATATATATATATATATATATATATATATATATATATTATATATATATATATATATATATATATATATATTTATGTATATATATATATATATATATATATATATATATATATATATTTATGTATATATATATATATATATATATATATATATATATATATATATATATATATATATATATATATATATATATATATATACATATATATATATATATATATATATATATATATATATATATATATATATATATATATATATATATATATATATATATATATATATATATATATATAGTTAAAAGGCAGAAGACAAGATCAAGCCCAAAAGTTTTAAGGTCAAGGCCAAGAATAAGAATAGGCCAAGGCCTACATAAACATTTTAAGACTAAAGACTTAAATTTTTGTCTAAAACTAAGGTCAAATATTAACAAAACTGTATGTTACAAAATCTGTGACAATAAACCACATGTGGCAAAAATAAACCAAGGTTATGCACAAAATTCTACGAAGTCATTAAGAAAACATACCTGTAGATATATATGAAAGACGCAAACAGAGGTTTACATCTACGCCAGCCTAAAAAGTGAAGAAGGGGTTTGAAGCTGGTCAACAGTATTATTCTGTTTACCCTTAATGTCTTTGACAAGGAGGCTTTCTGCAAGACAGCAGCTAAATACAGTTAACACTTGGGTATTTTTATGGAAACAATATCTCTAAGTATTTTTATGGAAACAATATCTCTAGTCTTTACTCAACCAAGAGCCCTAAGGCAGAGGAATTTCATTGACACTTAAAATCTGCCTAAGATGAGTATTTTAATCAAGACACCATCTCTAGCTTTTATTCAACCAAGAGCCATAAAGCAGGGGAATTTTAAGTTAGAGTTTATTTCTTCTAGCTTTAGACTAAAAAAAGCAAACTCTACAAAGCAGCAGGGTATGGGACAGATAATACTGGGTTACATAACAATAGTAGCAGGGCCATCATGATGATCCTAAAATTGATTTGACCTGACCTGTAAGTTTTAAGCTTGTAAATCATCAAAATCTGAGATAGCTTTTACAACACGTTATAGACGTCTATAACGTGTTGTAAAAGCTAAAGTTGTAAATAACAAAACTCCTAATGAGAAATTTATGGCTCCTAATGTACGACCAACAATTTACAGCTATAATAAAAAATTAATTTTAACAATATGGTACCCTACATGACACTGTTAACATATATTACATTGTCGCAATTATAAATGTTTTTAATAAAAATCACTCACTTGTATTTCTCATAAATTTCTTGAACTCTTCTTATGTTTTCTGCCTCCATACATCCAGTTTCATGTTTTCGGTATCTAGCAATATAAGGTACGGTCAAGTCTTGTTCTAATAAGTTAATTACATTGCTTATATGATTGACTTTGTGTGCTTCTGATGATTTTGCAGAAGCATTATGATTTTTCAAATTTATAGAAACTGCTTGCTCATCTGTTAAATACTCATCAATAACCAAAGAGTTTATATTGGGCATTTCTTCTTCTTCTTATGTTGATAAAATTAGCGATGAAATACAAATAATAAAATATTAAATTGATAAAAAAATAAGTTTACTAATATTATTAGGAAACTTGTTTAACGTTGTTAATATAATTGCGTTAATGCGGTAGTGATGCGGTGGTAGAGAACTCGCTTCATAAATTCAAAAGTTCGGAGTTCGATCCCCACTCAGTCACTGGTATTAAATAAAGTAGTCTTTGATTGTAGTGATCTTCTCGGCCTTAAAGAGGTGAATAACATTTGAAAATAATAATAATAAAATAAACTGTATTATTATAACTGATTCTAAAACATATTAAAATTAAAAATTGAATATTATGTAGTTGTTCTTTCAAATGTTGACGCATCTACATCAGGAGCGGAATAAGACTTTTCGGGACCCAGGGCTATTTTAAAGTAGGATGCCCTTTTTCATGGGCAACGACAAAAATATGTAAAATACAGGCTTTCTTGAAAAAGCTATCGCTGATATTTATTTTTATATTTATTTATTAAAAAGCCATCGCTGATAAAAGATTTTATATTTATTTTATTGAGTTAAGTAAAGTGATTTCTTTCTGCTTTTTTTTCCGTAAACTTAGCTATCACATCGCTAAAATCCATTGTTTCTAACAATTTTCATTGAATAGTTAATCTTGCTGTACTACTTAAACGATTATGGAAATTAAGAATTTCTCAGCCTCGCAATTTGTTATGGGAATAGTTAAAAACAAACGGTACGCTATAAAAACATTCGGAAATACATCAATAGTATTGGTTTCAACAATCCAATTTATAACATGCAGAGAAATTAATGTGTTTTTAGTTTCAAGTTTATCTTTTTTATGAGTAAAAAAAACCTGGAGGTTGCAACTTTAATAATGATATAAATTGTTCTATTTCATGGCCTACTTTATTTATACGGCCGGATATTTTACATTTTGAAGAAAAAAATAGAAGGCCAGTTTTTAAAATCGTAATGTTTCAAAAATTTAATACGTTTTGAACATTTTCAATATTATTTTACTTTCTACATTTAAAAAGTCCACAAAAGTTGTACTTATTCATAATTTTAGATATTAAACGAACATTTATTAAGAAATAAATAGTGTTTATTTTAAAATTTAGTATTAGTAAAAACGATGTAAGAAACAAGAACAGTTATAAAAAATATTTAAATGTTTCTCTTTTTTCATTTAAAAAATAAAATAATTATATATAATTTATTAAATTTTCTCAAATTTTCTCTTTTTAAAAGATTTTACATGATCAACAGCTACTTCACTGGTAGAGATAATTCTTTTATTATTAAGAAAAATGTTAACAACAATTCTTCCAGCAAGTTTTATCCCAGTTTTCTCATGCATGGGACAAGAAAAAGTCTGAAAAGAGTCATAAAAGTGGTTTAACAAATATTCTAAAGCTTGTCGTGCATGTAAACTAAATTTCTTTATTTTTTTATAAAAGTAGTCAATCATAGCAAAGGATGTGCAAACATAATCCAAAAGTGATGGTGAAGGAATAGTGAGACCACCCCTAGAAATAATTGTTAAATAAGTATGATCAGGATTGCTTTCATCAATATTGACACAACATAAAAATTCTTTACAACATGTACCAAAACGTTTTTTAAGTTTCTTTGCTATATAACCAGCAATATGAGCACCTACTTCCTACTTTCTGGTGCAAGTGTCATGATTTCTGGAGTACACTGAGCTTCATCAATATCAAGAAGAAAGTTTTTCCAATCTGTTAAATTATTTTCTGACTCAGGCACTTTTAAACTATCATCGAAGTTAATACTTTCTTTAACTATACTTTTGATTTTTAATATTTTTTCAGAAATAGTGACATCTTTTAAACCTACCAAAAATCTTCCACCGCTCATTTGTCTATATTGTCCAAATCTCCTTTCTAATGGGTCACTTTGAAATCTCGCAGTTAAAACAAAGTGATATCCATCATTAAGCAAGTCCTCGATCAATGAGGCATGACTATTAAGTGTTCTTATTAGTGCTGCAGCTGTCTGAACACTTAAAGTAAACTTCTCACAGTTTGGTATCTTTTGTGATTGCCAAACTTCAATCCAATGTGCCATTTCCCGAAGAAATTCAGGTTTTTTATTACCAGAAACGACTGCATTACCTAAAATATTACATGCTGAATACTGACATTTAGAATTTGATAAAACCCAACTTGTTAAAGAATGTAAGAAAATCTGCACTACTTTTAAGATCTGGAAAATATGAGTGAATCGCTGCTGATGTAGTTTCATCAAAAATTGCAAGTGCTAAAGAAACATTTTGTTTAAAATTGCCAGGATGTAACACTTTCATTGTTATTTTTGGTGCTTTACGCAAACCAGCATCAAGAGTGAGGTCTTTTTCATAAATATTGTGGAAGGTACTCCATTTAATTTCTCCCCCACATACAATTATAGGATCTTTAAATCCATTAAAGTTAAAATCTGGAAATAAAAATCTTTTGCAATTTAACAAATTATTTCTGATGTTTTTAATAAGATGTACAACATCAAAACAGAGGTAAATTTTTTTTAGATTGTAAATAAAAAACAAATTTTCAGCTTGTTGATTCGATGCACAAAGGATTTTTTTAAAACAAGAAACATTAGCAGAATGGTTGTCACACACAATAACTCTAACATTAAATTCACATTCAGTTAAAATACGAAGACATTCAAAAATTTCTTCTTTCAACCATTCAGCATTGATTGTTTTTTCAGGAGACGTTTTGATCACATATGGAATGTTTTGTTTCAGGCCAACTATCATAAAACAAACTATTCCCTTATACATTTCTCCAGACTCATCACTACCAATCATCTCTCCAGCAAAATACTCCTCACATTATTGCAAGTACATTTCATCAAAAATCAAGCAAATGTCTTGAGATATCTTACCTTCTAATTTTAAACGTTTTGCACAACTTAGAGCATCAATATTTCCACTAGTTATTTTTTTAAGTAATGATAATAATGGTAAAGGCAATTCTTCACGCAAAAGTTGGTATGACTGCATAGAAGTATATCGTAATATCAGTGAATACCTTATAATATTGGCTGAATAAATAGGTTTTTTCATATATTTAATTTGCTGTAATTCAGTCAATACAGATGAAAATTGTTCGGCTTGTGATTTAATGTAGGTAGGAAAATTATGAAGCATACTTTTACAAGATAAACGACAATCTCTTCCTTGACAAAACCACTGAGTTAATGGCAGAGGTGAACCTCTGTAAAATAATTTAACATGCATCTCATTGTTTACACGAATGCACTCTGTAACCTCTGGAATAGATAAAGTACTATGACTCAATTTATAAAAAATTACATGATCATCATACTTCAAGAATGAAAAACCATCTGGAGCAAAACTTTCAGTAATATCGTTAAAGCTACTAATCAAATCATTCAATAAAAACTGTTCATATTGATCTGGCTGAAATATTCTTTTAGTTGGTGATTTTCTTAATGAATTAGAAGATTTTATAAGTTGTAATGAACCTTCTTCAGTCAAATTTGTGCAGTCAAAAATAGTTGGAATAGGCTTTAAATTTTTTGTTAATCTAAAACGTTGATTCTTATTACCTTTCTTATAATATTTTTTTTTTCAAATTGTTTGATGCATATAACGGAAGAATTAGTAGGTGTCCAATCTTTTCTATTTACAAATTTAATCCAATATTTTTTTAACTCTTCATTTTTTGGAAACGAAAATACTACTGTAGATTCTTCACCATAATTATGATAATTTGAACGACAATTTACGACGCAACATTTGTTAACCATCTTTTTGAACTTCCAAAGCTGCTTTCTTAAAAACACTTTTCCAGAAAACTGGCCTTCTATTTTTTTCTTCAAAATGTAAAATATCCGGCCGTATAAATAAAGTAGGCCATGTCTATTTTAAAAATAATACTATCTTTTAAATACTTGTAGTACACTTCTACAATTTTTGCGCTAACTTGCAATTCCATGATACTAATAGTTAACAACTTTGACAGAAATCCAAACACCTTATTTATGTGGCTGTAACCATCACTTCTTATTGTTAGTTGTGTCACAACTTTGTCAATAATGACAAAAAATATATTCACTCGAAACTTGCCGGAAACGTGTTTAAAGTATCAACTTGGTTTTTTCCGTTGCTCAATTTTTTAACTACTTTTCTTTTCTCCTTATCAGAAAAGTCTTTTTTAATAAAGGAGCTATCTCTGGAACAAAATTGTTTTGAATAATTTATCAACTTCATTTGAACTTTTTAAATATAAACTAAAAAAAATTTTTTTTTTTCTATAAACGATATAATGAATTATTTCTAATATGCTAACTTCATTAAACCTCATAAATATGTGATGCCAAAGTACAGCCATAAATGGGAACTCTAGCTAAGTTATATTATTTAATAAATACACAGCTTCATGACGACTGAATACTCAGCTATAAGATGCATAATTCCCATCAAACTTTTTTACTAAACTTTTTGAAGCATCTGACCTCATGACCATTGCGTAACTGATAGGCGCTTGAATGTAGCATGCTTTCTTTTCAATAAATCCCATCTGTGTGTTGAAGCTACAAAAAATTAATGCAAACTCTGCATAATGCCAAAATACTTGATAGAGTTAATGCACTTACTGACACTGCACTGCCCTACAAGTAAGCATACTTATTGTTTGCTTGTCCGAGACAATTGCTTATATCAATATTATATTTTTCCAGTAGATCTAAAATGTCAGTAATCAAGAATTTACCTTTGTGGTTTTTAATTTGTAGAAAAGAAAAAAATTGCTCATACACGTCATTTAATATAATAACGAAATATCACAGAAAGTTGATCCACGTGAGAAATACCGGGCATAGAATCTAAGATAATTCCCCAGTATTTTGCTATTTCGCTAATAATGTGTGTTAAAACCTTTTGAGACATAATATCAATTAGCTCTTCACAAATAGTTTTGGACAAATAAGATTCATTATCTTTGCCTTTATTTATAAAAGAGTCAATGTGTTGCTTTGAAACTGGATCAAATTGAGTCAACAGTTCTAACACACCTATAACTTCGCTGTGGCCTTGAAATACTGTCTGTTCCGGCTAAAAACGAATAACTGCAACTATTCTATTAAAGATCGTAGTCCGATAATTAATTGCATCTTTAATCTGGCTTACCATATATTCATCAATATGAATATTTTGTTTTATGAATTCAATCCACTT